CCGAATGGTTTTTTCACGTGGTTTTGTTTTGCCAGGTTTTTCCCCATCCAATTTTTTTCCTTTTTTTCCATCCTATATTTTTTCCGATAAGTTTTTTTGGTGTGCACGGGATTGAATCCCAAATCTATATATATACCAAATTTCTACTATTATAAAAATTAAAAATGTTTCGCCGATACTTTGGTATGTCGTCCGTATTTGAGTCACCTTGCATGCTAATTTGGGACAAAAGTCGGACTCCTAATTAATTTACAATTCTCGCCAGACCATAAGAAACTTTTGCAAATACATAAGGAGTCGTATAAGAAATCATTTTAAAAACCTAACATGCTAACTTGGGACAAAAGTCGGAATCCTAATTGATTTATAATTTTCGTCAGACCATAAGAAAGCAACGTACAATATATGATCAATACTATCAAAATAAAAATCCATATACTTTTAAGAAATAAAGTCTAACAATAATACGATTAAAATAGCCTTCACCCGTTGCAACGCACGGGTATTTTTTCTATATTATAAAAATTAAATATGTTTTTACCGGTATTTTGGTATGTCATCCGTATTTGAGTCAGTTTTTAAGTTTGTTCGCTTTTGAAAAAATATAGATCCGTGTTAAAGTCAGATTTTAAGTTCGTTTGTTTTTAAAAATATAAAAGAAGTCGTACAAGAAATTTCTTTAAAAGAACTTGCATGCTAACTTGAGATTAAAGTCAGACTCCTAACTGCAACTCATGATTTTCTAAAAAATAAATCCAAGCGAATTCCTAAATGTCATCCTATCTAAACCGTATAACAATAATAATATTAAAATAGCATTCACCCGTTGTAACGCACGGGTATTTTTTTAGTCAAGTTTAAAAATATATCTTTGTATATATGTGTATAGGACACCACCACCTAAGGCTTCTTATAGGTAGGTCTATACCTATAAGACTATAAGGTATAAGAGAGTATATAAATATTTTTACTTTCGCATGTACTGGAGCACACAATTACCAAACGTTTGGGCCCGAGAGCACTTAATTTCACTAGAAACACAAAAGCCCACGTAAAACATCACATGGCAAAGTATGGCACATGCTGTCCATGCGAAGCTCCCGTTCCACCTCGTTTAGTCCCACCTCGGAAAACTAGCTTCAGACAGCGCAGCTTAAATAGCAAGAGCGTCCCACCACCTCCAGCCGAGCTCAGCAGCGCGAGCTTGTAACCCGAGCGGGGGCATTAAGGTGGTGTGGACGTTGCCGTATGGCTGCGGGCCTGGGTTGGCAGTGCCATAGATGGCCCGCCCGTTCCAAGTTGCGTAGTTGGGCCGGCGGGGCTTGAGCGAAAGCTCTGGCCTCACGTTTCCCTAGAGTGGCAGGCATTGCGTGAGGCTGGCTTCACAGAGCAGCGAATACTGTCCGCTTCCAACGGTGGAAGGATAACGGGCCGCCGCACTGCTGGCCCGCTTGGGTCTCGCAGCCTACTCCAACGGACCACCACTTTTTTTATTATTATTTTCCCATCTTGTTTGCCTGAATTTACCTCTAACTGACTTGCTGCCACGCATGTAGGCCGTCTTTACGGATCATGAACACGGGTATTCTTGAGCGGTAAAAATCCAACTTGTATGTATTTGTACACTTCATTATCTAAAAAAGAATGTATTTGTACACTTTGTTGTAAACAATTCGATGGAACAAAAAAAAACTAAAGCTGGTGAATTTGTCGTTGAATCAAGTCCTTTTTAGTTTTTTTTTAGTTTTGCTGATTGAAGTTCTCTGTTAGGCATAATTGGAGCTTATGTTGTTTTTAGATTTAATATATTTCAATTGTTGCACAGACTGGGATCGCAGGGAAACATAATTATTTATGCTAATATAGTAAACTGGGTTAACAGCAAACTGAAAGCAGCGGGAAGAAGATCTCAAATGGAAAGCTTCAATGTGTTCTTCCTGTAGCCTCCAGTCTCAATCATTTAAATACTACTCCCTCCGTTTCACAATGTAAGTCATTTTAGCATTTCACACATTCATATAGATATTAATGAATCTAGACATATATATCTATCTAGATTCATTAACATCAATCTATCTAGATTCATTAACATCAATATAAATGTGAAAAATGTTAGAATGACTTACATTGTGAAACGGAGGGAGTAATTACAAATTTATACTCATTCTTCTTTCTTGATGGAAATGCCAAGTGTAATACAGGCAGAGCAGCAGTAGTTCATGGAGCAGGAGGCGTCAGCTTATTGCCCATTTTTCTCTTGTTGCTGCTTGCCGTCGACACGCTGAAGCTGTTGGTGTTGTCGTTTGACTTTTTTTAACAGAAAGAATTTTATTTAAAATGAAATTATACCCGGCCTCTACATACATCCTAGGACTCACACAAGCGAAAAAAAGAAGAATATCCTGAGACAAACATTAATGTATCATGTCATCAGATCTTCTAGTCTCTGTTGCCAAATGTTGAAGAAATCAGACAAAAAAGGAGAGGCATCATTGCTGAAAAGGGGATCAGCTTGCCTACTGATGTCAAAAGAAACCGTGCCATCAGCTCATCATCCAGCTTATGTTGTTCACCAGATCTCTTATAATTCTTGTCACCAGATCCTTAGACCGGCGAGGAGAAGAACATCATAGTTTCTGAAGTCCTGCACTGGTGCTGCGCCACAAGGGACACAAGCAAACCTTGGTGGATTGCAGAAAAGGTGTGATTTAGCGATCAGTTCCGTAGTTAGCTCTCATAGGATAAAAAGTGATAGTAATTAGTAGGCAAAATTGGTTATATAGCATCGAAAGTTCACGTTTTTGGTTTTATAGCACCAAAAGTTACCGGTTCACTTTAATAGCATCCAAAGTTCACCCTGTTACCATTTTTAGCACTTCCGTCAATTTTTCTATCCGTCTTGATCGTTATTGATCCAGTCACACACATGATATGACATTTCTACCTCTCATTGACATGCATTATACTTGTACTTGTGAGGGGTAGAAACGTCATATCGTGTGTGTGGCTGGATCAAGACGGACGGAATCCTCCGTTTCACAATGTAAGTCATTCTAGCATTTCCCACATTCATATTGATGTTGATGAATCTAAATATATATATATATCTATCTAAATTCATTAAAATCAATATGAATGTGGGAAATGCTAGAATGGCTTACATTGTGAAACGGAGGGAGTACATATTTCAAACATAGAGAAGATGCATTGCTACTATTATAAGTGCTTAAGAAACAATGGTCAGTAAATATTCAGACTGAAGTTCTCTAAGTTTCAGATATGACATACATTACTTAGTAAGCTTCTCTTTTCGCAAATTTTCTGTCGGATTGCCCGAGTAAAATTTTCTTTTCTTTTATATTTTTCCAATGACAAGTAGTACTCGTACTTAGTGAGGTTAGAAGTAGACTACTCTTATGTTCTTACGATGAAAAGAACTTTTAAGGTATAATTTAGTGATTGTATATACAACATATTGTGTCTAAAAAGTTCTCAATAATCAAACCGTTAAGAATCGGAAGTACCTCCAATCAGGGGGCAAGTTCATCGTGGAACTTCATGGTTGGTTTAGGGGAGGCCACCGCCGAGAGCCAGAGATAAAAGATGGTGTCACCAGTACTCCCTTCACTCCAAAATAAATTAATCTGATACAAAATAAAACATCATTGAATATAATGAATTTGAACAATTATTCTATTATCTAAAAGAAATGAATTTGGACAATGTTTAGTGGGCGCAAGAAATCTGAAAAATTGGCTTATACTATAATTAGCTCGGACCAAATATCGTGAGCTTTTCTTTTCCTTTTTTTTTATAGTTTACTCATTCTCTATTGAATAAAGTTGGTAGCTTGCGCATTAAAAAATTTAGACAATGTTTCGTCTTACGGACTAAGGCTATATTCTTCTCCCATCTTTTCCAACTCACCTCTTTCATGTTCCTTGCACACACTCTTGAAACTGCTAAACGGTACGTTTTTTTCAAAAGGTTTCTACACGAAAGTCATATTAATATAAAAAAATCATATTAATCTTTTTTTAAAATAATAATAATAAAAACTTAATTAATCATAAGAAAATGCGTCGCTCTATTTTGCGTACGCGGGATGTGAGTTCCCAACCTCACCTCCTAAACACATTCTAAATTTGTTTCTCCTCTTCCCCCTCTCGTGCTGGGATGGATAGAATAGTCATTAATGAAGGTTGAAACTAAGTTTTCTAGTTTTTCCTTTTTGTGTTTGTGTATATTGTTCTGTGTGAGGCTCGGAGTCTAAAAACTCGCGCATGTTTTTGGCAGTATATCCTTTGACATATAGAGACCGAATTAATGAAAAATTCACTATTAAAAGTTTTTAGATTAGTTTATTTTAGGATAGGAGTGGATCTATAGTTAGCGTCAGCTTTAGGCGACCCGACGACTTCCGACAAAAACTATGATTATACTTATTCATATATTATAATGATATAGTCTAAGTATAATTAGCATGTCATGGTATCGATAGATCTATTATAATACCAATGAATTAATTTCTATATCCATCATTGTTTTAGGAGATAGAGGAGAACTGATATGACCGTGGCAGAGAGGAATGGAGCTGGGTTGATGTGGATATCTCCGTGATCGCTACACCAACACCTCCAGGTTCCGTACTACCGTCCATGTGCCAAATTGTGGCGCAAAACCGTACCACTCGGCCACTCCGGCTGTTTCCCGAACAAAAAATTGTGGCCTAGCCTAGCGTCACCCTCACCGTCCTAGAAAAGCCTTGCGAGCGAGAGAGCGACACGACCCCGCCCGGCCGCCCCTACTCTCCTCCCCGCCTCACCGCGCTGCAGCACGCGCGCGTGGACGTGTCACCCCGCTCCGCTGCACGTGGCCATAGCCCTCGCTGGCCACGCGCCCCCCGAGCCTTCCAGGCGCGCCGCTCTGCGTACGTGTCCCCTCCTGGTAGAGAACGGCATCACGGCGCGCCGCGAATTATAAGCCGAGCACGAGCACGAGCACGAGCTCCCCTCTCAACGCCAGGGCAAATGTTACATCGCGCCTCGCGTCTTTACCCCTCATGTACTCGCTTCGTTTAGCTAGCAGCGGCAGCACGGGACTCGGCTTCGCGCTCGGCCGGCTCGGCGGGAGGAGTGGCGGCGGCGGCGGCGGTGGTGGTTTAGCGCCCGCGTCGGCGTCGTCGTCGTCGGTGGTATCCGCTCGCACGAGGAGGACCGTCTCCGTGACGCCCAACGCCGCGGCGCCGACTCCGGGCGAGCAGGGCGTCGCGATGGAGCAGGGCAAGCAGCAGCACCAGCCACCACCTCCGTCGCAGCCGCAGCCGCAGCAGGAGAAGCGCGGCTCCCGCGACGACGACATGCACAAGACCACAGGGTACGTACGCACGAGTACACTACGGTTTTGGCGTGAGCGGCTGCGTGCGCCGGATTTAACCGTGGCGTCTGCGTGTTCGCGTGTGTGCAGGGACGTGATGACCCACTCTTTCGGGGAGGGATACTCGACGCGGTCGGACGAGGAAGGGTTCGGTGGCGTGTACGGACAGAACGACCCGGTGTTCAACCCTGGGACCGAGGTGCACCCCAGCCACCCTGGTACGTGCACTGCTGCTAGATAAAATTAACGAATTTGCTATATATTTATCGATAAATTTCCTCAAAAAATTTGTCAAGATGCAATTACAGTACAATCGTAGTGTAATTACACTGTAACTTGCATGTAATTACACTGTAACTATAATGTACAACTTGTATGTAACTTTCAACAATCTCTCGGTAATATGTTATTTCAGTAAAATAGAGGTCATGGAAACAAATCCTTTTATATATGTGTGTGCTATGATTTTTTTTCTTCCTCACCAGAACAAATCTTGTAATAGATCTAACGATTCAAAATTACGTGAAACTTAAATACAAGTTACAGTGTAATTACATACAAGTTACAATGTAATTACACTACGATTGTACTATAATTATATCTGTCAAATTTTTAGTAGAAAATTTGTCGACAAATGTATAGGTAGTCCCTAAAATTAATTTGACACATCCTTAAATATCCGTCTTGAAAATAGGTACATTAATAAACATATCCACTACGAATCTTGAATCTGGAAGGATGTCTAATGAAGGATGTCTAATTTTGTTTCGAGTAATTTTATAATCTTGAGAAGGTACTGTAACGTATCAAAAATTAAAATTTAGTGTAAAATTTGATCTCTTTATAATTTTACAATAGAAAAGTGATACCTCCTTGAGGACTAAAATTGCCTTTTGTTTTGGTTTATACCGAGTAGTTGGGAACAGTGGTTACAGGAGGGACGTGAACTTAATTATTAATCTGAAAATTTGGATTTTGATCTCTGTTTTGATTAATAACTGGGGTTGCTTTGGTTGTACTGCGATGTGTGCAGAGTACGACACGTCGCAGGGGTCGGAGGTGAAGGAGAAGGAGAAGGCGCGCCACCATAAGGACGACAAGCACGCGACCTAAGCCTAGCAGTTGGGGGCTGGATTAGGTCCTAATCGTAGTTTAGTCGGGCATGACGGGGATCACCCCCATCATCACCTGTGCATCCACGTTGCCCTATCTTTGATGGGCACTAGTTGTATCTTTTGCTTCTGAACTGTTTTGATGCATTTGTTTTATTCCTTAGATGTGATGTAAAATCTCTACAGTACTTAATTAGCTATGTACTGGTACTGTGAGTTCTCCAGCGCTTGTGTCTCCTGGTGTGTGTGATCATGTAATGATGAGTCGATTCATATATATACTCCCTCCTCCTCCGTCATCCCTTCTATAGGATTTTCAAAAAACATCCCTTCTATAGGATTTGTATAATAAATCTGTAATAAAAGAGATTTTAGGTGGCTTGGATATATTCTGATTTTAGGTGGATTGGATATATTCTAGTATAATTAATTTAGGCAGATAGTTTTTAAATTTATTGTATTTTTAAATTTATTGTATTGGGACGTGTTACGTTCATAAAAATCCCTTATAAGATCGAAACGGACATACCAGATGAGCTACGGCAGATTCACAAAAATCCCTTATAATTTAGGCTTAAGTGCGCTCCATGTGAGGCCGCCGCTCTAATTCGACCGACGACTCTTTAGGGCTCGAAGCTTCTGTATCGTGAGCCTTTTGGGAAGGGACTCAAGGAGTGATGGGCTACTCGCTATATTCTTCTCGAAATACTACATCCATACTAAAATGTAATAATTTTTAGCTAAACGTATAACTTTTAGTTATAAATCTGAACACATAATTATCTAGATTCATAGCTAAAAATACATATTCATAGCTAAAATAATTAAATGTCCTAAATGTAACAACTTTTAGCTATGAAACTTTTAGCTATGAATCTGAACTTAGCTATGAATCTGAACGTGAACTTAGCTTTTTAGCTATGAATCTGAACTTAGCTATGAATCTGAACGTGAACTTAGCTATGAATCTGAACGTAAAGTTGTTTATATTCATAGCTAAAAATACTTAAATTTTAGATTTTAGGACGGGGGAGTAAGTCGTTAATGGGCCTCTATGACACCTAAGAAGCATTTTCTTCTCGAAATAAGTGGTGTTTGGATAAGGGACTAAACTTCAGTACCTTACTCTGGCAATCCATGTTTATGTACCGAGAGAAAAAAATCACTGTCACGCATCGAAAGTTTGGACATTTGGTCTATTAAATATAGACTACTTATAAAATTAATTATATAAATAAGAGCTAATTCGCACGATAAATTTTTTAAACCTAATTAATCTATAGTAAGCACATGTTTAGTGTAGCATCATATAGGTTAATTATGGATTAATTAGGCTCAATAGATTCGTCTCGCAAATTAGTCTAGGTTATTGTCGGTGACATGGGACCGGGAGTATCATGACTAGAGCCTTGAGGCAGACACAATCGCCCACGTGGCCTGGCACCCTCGGGGGGCGTCGGGCCCGAGGGTGATGTGTTCGCCCTCCTCTTTGTCTCCCCGAGGGGGTCGGACCGCTCCCGCCTCGGCCCCGAGGGCCGAGGCGCCCCGACCCCTTGTGGGTTTTGCGCCGCGTATATGAGGTAGGTGAGCATAGCGGGGCTCACCTAACCACATTTATTGCGGTTTGGACGAGCGCGTCACGCCGCATGTAACGCAGTGCAGTGCGCTCGTTTATCCGGTCAGTGACCAGTCACAGACCGATCAGATCGTGGGTTAGGTGGCGACAGGCGGTCTGACGCACGCCTCGCCCCATCCCGTCAGGATGAGAGCCTCCAAGCACTCGTCCCTAGCCGGAGCCGGCGTGTTAGCTCCTGGAGATGGCACATTGGTCCCGGTCAGATATATACCAGGCTTCATCCTAACCATTACAAGCAAGACATTGTATGAAGAGGGGCGAACATGCAGATTGATAAACTGACGCGTGGTGGACAAGAATGACCGATTTGTGACTGGTCTGACACTGGTCATGTCGTCAGCAGACAGCCATGTTCCCACGTCGCGCTTGCTTCCGGCGGAAGTGGAGGTAGGTATGGGCCGTCCCATCAGAAGGTCATTCGGACGGCAATCATACAAATCTCCGTCCATTTATGAAAAGATAGGATAAGTCCCCACAAAAAAGAGAGAGATGGTGCATGTGGTATCCCCTTGAGGTATAAAAGGAGGACCTTGCCCACTGAGATGGGGACTGGACTTTTCCAAATTGGGAACCCAGAACAAGGGAGAGGCTGGCTCATACCTTGTAGCTCCTTCATACGCAGATCACCCAAAACACAGGAGTAGGGTATTACGCTTCTCAGCGGCCCGAACCTGTATACATCGCCCGTGTCTTGTGTGTTTCCGGTCTAGCGAACCTTCCACATACAGAGAGCTTAGAATCTCACCCTGAGTCCCCGGCCGAACCGGCAAAGGGGGGCCTGCGCAGTCTCCCGGTGAGGAGCCTCACGCTCCGTCATCTGGCGCGCCAGGTAGGGGGCTCTGCGAGGGATTTTCTGAGCTCTCGCACTCTTTCGTGTGCGCCAAGCTTTTCCTGTTCAGCCCAATGGCCGAGCCAGCAAAGGCACACGACCTCTCCCCGAGTATGAGCGGTGACGACGGGGAGCCAAACCCACGCCGTCGACCTCGTACTCCACCGCCCCTTCCACGCCAAAGTCCTAGGCGGGAGAAGGCGCTCGAGAGGGCTCAAGGATCCGCGACTTCGACATCCACAGGAGGTGGAGAAGGGCGGCGAGATGGGGAGCGTCGCCTCCTCATCTACGGCGACGGCAGCACGCCCCAGGGCGCGCTCCAAGCTGCAGGCGCGCTCCTACATCACCCGCCCGTCGCCCATGACCCGGAGTCTCCAGCCCAACGTTGGCTGGACGATTTGGCCAAATTGGTCATGACTGCACGGCAGCGCCTAGATGCTGGTGGGCGGTCCTCCGCCACCAAGGCCTCTGGTGCTGCTACCACCGGCTCCGCGTCGTCAAGACGGAGGGCGCGGCGAGCGGCGGCTGTTGCTCGCCATTTGGCCGCCACTCCTTCGTCAGCGCCTCCGACCCAGGAAGATCTGCGTGGGGGGCCGGATGCCCGCATCAGTATCGAGCGCCGGCGTAATGGCCGACGTGCTGCCCACGCAACGGAGGGCGCCTCCTCGTCCGGAGTGTCACATCAACACGGACGCGGGGATCAGCCCTCCGTGCCCCCGGTTGGTGGTGTCGGCTGTAGAGCCTTTGTGGCGAGCCTTCGGAACGTCCGTTGGCCCCCAAGGTTCCGGCCCACCATCGCCGAAAAATATGACGGGAGCGTCAACCCCGCCGAGTTTCTCCAGGTCTACACGACCGGGATCGAGGCCGCCGGGGGTGACGACAGGGTCATGGCGAATTTCTTTCCCATGGCCCTGAAAGGACAGGCGCGGGGTTGGCTAATGAACTTGCCACCCGCGTCTGTCCACTCTTGGGAGGATTTGTGCCAACAGTTCACCATGAACTTCCAAGGCACATATCCGCGCCCAGGTGAGAAAGCAGACTTACATGCAGTCCAGCGAAGGGATGATGAGTCACTTCGCTCATACATTCAGCGGTTCTGTCAAGTCCGCAACACCATACCATGCATCCCTGCACATGCGGTGATCTACGCGTTCAGGGGGGGTGTGCGGCACAACCGCATGCTCGAAAAGATCGCCTCCAAAGAGCCCCAGACTACCGCGGAGCTTTTTCAGCTCGCAGACCGAGTGGCTCGTAAGGAGGAGGCATGGACCTGGAACCCCTCCGGTTCCGGTGTGGCAGCTTCGGCCGCCCCCGGATCCGCTGCTCAGACAGGGCGGCGTGACAGGAGGAGGAAGAAGAGGTCAGCCCATACCGACGACGAGGGTCATCTCCTCGCCGTCGAGGGTGCTTCGCGGGCCACCCGAAAGGGGAGGCCTGCGAGCGACAAAAAGAAGGAAGCCGACGCTCCCTGACCTCGGCTACTTGGAAGAGCGAAGGTGGCGCGCGGCCCTTCGAGCCGCGCGCAACCAGCAGAGCCTGCGGCGCTACCATCAGCGCCACGTCCGGGCCCGATCACTCTGCGTCGACGACCTCGTCCTACGCCGTGTCCAAACGCGTGCTGGACTGAGCAAACTCTCACCAATGTGGGAGGGTCCGTATCGAGTGATCGGCGTCCCCCGGCCGGGCTCCGTTCGGCTGGCCACGGGCGATGGCACAGAGCTGCCTAACCCATGGAACATCGAACACCTTCGTCGCTTCTACCCCTAGTGGGGGTCGGGTGTCAGGTCTTGGGCTCGGGCCAACCCCGCACCCCCCCGGGCGTGCAGGGTTGGCCGGGGGCTTATCTTTTTTCTCTTCCGTATTTCAATAAAAGCATTTTCGATTTCCTAAAGGCTGTATCTGTGCTGTTGTTTCCTTTTGAAGGATCTTGACTTGAAATAGGTCACTCGTGTTCAATCCTGCCCTCGGGGGCTCGGGTCGGCTAAAATCGCCAAACGGGGCCCAGAACCGAGCCGTGCCCCGGGACGTGGTGAACTCCGGGGGGGAATCGGCAAAAACCCACAATCGGGTCACCCATAACCCTCGGTCACCACGCTCCCGGCCTGGCCAGTCTCGACATGTGGATCTCCCCAGGCACTAGCCTTGACCTGCGCCGTTTGAGGCTGGGACCTGGGCACGAGCCCTTGTTCAAGCCAAGACACAAAAGGACCGTGGCACAGACCATCCTCGTCTCATACACAGAACAAATGAAATTGACACAAAAATTTCCTCTTTATTTGATTGCAGATTAAATCAGCCTATAACAAGAAGAAGGCCCGAAGGCCTCGGAAGAAGAAGGAAAAGAAGAAACTATTTAAAGATTGGCGGGGGCCTGGGGGCTCACTCCGATGCACCCGGGTCGCCAGCCTCGTCGCCACTGTCGGTTTTCCCTTGCTGATGTGCGCGATTTGCGACCACCGGGATTCTGCCCGAAGAGAGAGAGAGCAGGGAGGAGAGGCCCCCGAGCCGAACGGCGGCCCAAGGCCCCCGACGGCCGGAGCTGGCTCTCCGCCTGCTTGTCCGACGGTGCCAGGCGCCCCCGACCCCCAGGATGGCCCCGAGGCCACTGCGGGAAGGCCGCGCCTGTCGCCCTCTGACCCCGAGGTCGTCGGCACAGAAGCCGAGTGCGCCCCGCGTGGCCTTTCGGATGGAGAGCGCCCTGGAGATGTGGCCCCTGACGAAGAAGATCGGCCCCGCCGAAAGGTGCAGCGGCCCGTCTACTTCGTTAGCGAGGCCCTCCGGGACGCCAAGACCCGATACCCTCAGGCCCAGAAGATGCTTTATGCTATCCTGATGGCTTCGAGGAAGTTGCGCCATTATTTCCAGGCGCATCGGGTCACGGTGGTTACGTCTTATCCCCTCGGCCGAATCTTGTATAACCGA